AGATATACATATTCGTGTCTATACAATAACGTGCGTCGTCTGTGCTATTGCCAAGGCGGGTTCGTCCGCAACGGGTTCGGACGACTGGCAAAAGCGCTCCACTTGGCAGCACAGCGTGAGCGCGCCAAGCGTGATGCTCACGACGAAGAGAAAGATACGCAGCAGCTGCACGGCGTGGAAGAGGTCGGCCGAGCACCCAAGGACGGGGTGCGACACGAGCGTCGAGCCAAAGATGGCCCAGCCTAGCGCCGCAGTGGACAAGAGGAGGAGGCAGCAAACCACGACGCGCTGCGACGACGATGCGTGCTGTTTGCGCGAGACAAAGTAGCACGAGCAGAGAAGCAGCGTCAGCGTCCCAAAGAGCGCACACGAAACGCCGACGTAGAGCGCAAATGGCTTGGAGCACGGCGCGTCGCCGTACGCGACGAGGAGCGCGACGCTGGTGGCGGTGAGCGCGACAAAGGGGAGGACGACGCAGCCGCGCTTGACAAAGGACGAGATGCACGAGCAGCGAAGGCAGCTCAGTAGCCATTGCTATTTTGCCATTAGCATAAGTCCAATCCAAAGCTGGGGTCCGGCTACCTCGCGGTGGTGGGAGGGCACCAGTGTGCGTAGCGAGTACGACACGAGGAGCCCGCTGACGGGCAGCCCGATGAAGATAAAGAAGGCGGACGTCGCCAAGGCCATGGTAAACAGCAGCGGCTCGGTCTCGGGGCATCCCTTGCGCGAGGTCCAGATGGCGCCAAGGACGCCCCAGACGACGCAGCCGACACTAAGCAGCGCGACAACGACAAGAAGTGGCAAGCCGCGCCGCGTTATCTGCGCCAAAAGAACGACAATGGCCCATACGGCGTAGAGGCAGCCGCTGGAGAAGACGAAGACGACTGTCTCACGCGGGCACATGCGCGACGCGATCGCACCTTGCTCAAAGAGGTCGCTGGCACCGGTTCGGTCCAGGGCTTGGGCACTCGAGGATAAGAGGAAGCAGACGACGGCGCAGGCGCATAGACTGCTCACGACGATAGCGCCGAGCGCGATTTGCATCCGGTTGCTGCGTTGCCGAGCGCGCTTGGGTAGCTCCATGTCCCCACGCACGCCCATGGCTCGAGCACTCTCGGTCAGATCTTATGAAAGTGCAACCTGACCTGTTGTTCTTATAATCGTAAATAGTGTTAGAGTCGTGTGGATTCCACGTCTGGTGGACGCACTACAAACTGGTGCGGAGTAGCTACCACATTAGACGGTAGTAGCTCTCACATGATCCATCGTCCGATGCGAAGCAGCCGTCTGCTTGTCTGCGCAGCGTCTTGTTCTGTTGGTCCAGGTATGCCATATACTATATAGTGTTCGACGAAGGCGTCGAATCGCATCTATAAATACTGTGCGATTACACTATTGCGGTGGATCTCGCACCTTGCCCAGCATTCCCAGCCGCGACATGCCAGATGGACGAGCCCGTGCGTGAGTCGTTCCATGACCACGGCGACCTCTCGGCGAGGCTCTCGCAGCACAACTTCCGCGCGCCGGCGCCCGAGAGCTGCTGCGACGTCGTCCTGCGCGTCGACGGCGTCCGCTTCCACGCGCACCGCTTCCTCCTCGCAGCGTCGTCCAAGCCGCTGCGCATCATGCTGACGGGCCCGATGCGCGAGGCGAAAGAGATGGAGGTGACGATCCACGACATCAAGAGCTACATCATGGAGCAGCTCCTCGAGTTCATGTACACGGGCGACGTCGAGCTGAGCACGGAGACCGTCGTGCAGACGATGACGGCGGCCGAGGTGTACGAGCTGGCCGCGCTCCGCGACGTATGCAAGCACTTTGCGCTGCGCCACGCCAAGCACGTCTTCAAGGCGCAGATGATCGAGGTGCTGCCGGAAAAGTTGTTGTGCGATCTTGTCGCCCACGACGACTTGGCGGTATGACGACGCATGCCACAACTCTAGGCTGATGACTGCATGGCCGTATAGATACGCGAAGCTGACCTCCTTGATGCAGTGCTCGCATGGGCCGAAGCGCGCTACGACAGTGTGGCCGAGGACGTCGAAGACACGACTGCCCACGGCGCCGGGATCCAGCTCATCTTGCAGGACGTATGGCCGCTCATTCGGTTTCCGACCATGAGCGTGCGCATGCTGTACGGGACGGTGCGGCCGCTCGTACGAGATCACTTTATTCCCGAGTACTTGCTCACGGAAGCGCTCTTCTTCCACCTCAATTGGGGCGCGGCGCAGTCGCCCGACCACCAGAAGCGCATGACACCACGCACATGCTCCGCGGCCACTGTATACCTCGTTCTTCGTCTTCCTTCCGTGCCTCTGATAGATGTACTGTGTAGCGCAAGCGCAAGCGCGTCTCGTTCATCCAGACCGTCTCGTTCGATACGCCGCCCGAGCGAGGGGCCGACGACCCGTTGCCGTAAACCTGTAAGAACTGCAGCCGTGATGATGCTCCTGTGTCTCGTCACGCTGCTTTCTCGTCGCACTGCGTGCATCAACGTGACGTGACCACGCTTGTCGCTACCTCAGCATGTCGCGTGCGCTATCGGCCGCACAGTCAAGCGAGTATAAGGACATGGATATTGACATTATGGTATAAATAGTAAAACGAAGTAGTAGTGGTAGTGGACGACACTTAGCAGACGACAGACGTGGACGACGGGATCGGCGAGCTCGCATAAAACGGTTCTTGGAGCAGATCCTCCATGTTGTCGAGCATCGAGTCGAGCGGGTCCACGGAGGCGGGCGTCGTCGGCGGGCTTGACGCAATTGCCGTCGGGTCGTTGCCATCGACGACCGCTGCGTCAATGTCCATGAGCTCGTCCGGGAGGCGCTCGCCGTCGCCGAGGTTGATCTTGGCGCACGCCAAGAGCACGCGGCACTTTTCCTTGTGCTCCTCGATCTGCGCCTTCAAGTCGCGGTTCTGGTGTTCGCTGAGCTGGCGCTCGGTCTTGAAGACAGCAGCAATGTCCATCCACGAGAGGCTCGAGCGCTTAAAGTACGCGAGCTCGCGCGCGTGGCGCTCGAGCGACTGAATCTCGCTGCTGAGCATTTGAAGCTCGGCCTGGTGGTGGCAGCGCTTGAGGCGGAAGCGCTCGCGGTTGTACACCTGCTTCTTGAGGCGGGCACGCGCCTTCTTGACGTCGTCGGGGACGTACGCCTTGTGCGTGCTGTCGTAGGCCGAGAGAAGCGAGGCGAGTTGGCGACTGCTGCACATGTCGAGTGAAATTGAAAAGTGTCAATTGAGATATTCAAGATCGCTCATCTCATGGAGATCGTCCACGCATGTTACGCCCGGCGACATGCGCCGTTCATGTCGTCAAAAATGCCCTCCGTTATCCGGACAAGTAGGTGTGAGATACCCCGCTTCTTTTTTTCAACATTGTGCGCAATACAAAACGCAAGACGTTTTGTGTAGACGTTCAGAACGCGGATCAGTTCGCGTCGTTTTATCCGGATGCGTGCGGGACTTTCGGTTGGGACATACCAAGGGGTTAATGACCTCCTGTCGCAGCGGTGTATCGTTCAGCGCGACGGGACGATGGGCACCGCGACATCCGCGTTAATCTTTTGCGCTCACTAACCGCCCTGAACTGTGTGGACCAGACGTCCCACGTTGCTGGATCGATACGACGCTGCGTAGACACACTTACCTCAGGAATGCCTCCGGAAGAAAGAAGAGGCGTGAGCCAGCGTTGGCGCAAGAGGGCCGCATGGCGAGGGCTGCACGACCGAGCAAAGCCGTCGCCGAAGACCTCGCGCATAGTGCTTGACTTGGCGAGTGCGCACTTGACCACACACGGTGCTCGACCGATGATGGAGCCGGCGAGATGGTCGAAATAGCATCACTAGTACAAAATAGAGACCATGGTGGTCAAGTGCATCATGGCGTGGTTGATGGTGGAGGGGCAAGAGTCGGGGGCCGAGCACTGCGACAGTCAGCGGTGCGATCTTCGGCCCAACGACGCTGGTGAGTAACTTGAGCATGGCGTCTGTGGACCTCAATGCGAAGACCGCTGGGACACCCCGTGATGCGAGAGGTCACATGTCGCTCCTGTCGCCGGCGGTCTGCGAAAATGCCGAAAAGATCGCGCGCGACATGTGCGCAACCTCCGAGACTGAATATCGGAAGTCCCGGTGGAAGCCGAGAATTCAGTCACGCCGGGTGCGGAGATCGCGCCAAGATACCGCCGAGGAGCCTTGAAAGGCCGAGTATAACACGGGGTTGAGCGCCAGCGCAACACGCCCGCGGGGCCAGCGATCACAAAAGGCACCGAGAGGACGTGGCTGCGGAATGTACCATGGCGAGGGCATGGGGCCAAGAGAGCGTACGGCCGTGAGCAGGCGGGCGTGTACCGCGCCTTGGCCACGAGTCGGGCGCGAAGCGTCGAGCATCGAGCAATGTAGGTCGGTGCGATGTTCTTGGCAGGATCGTCGTGTGGTCTGGCCGCCGTGGCGTCGACGTGGGTCGAGCGCTAAGATCATCTTGCGCTCTCGGCTCGCCGACAATCGCGCCGCGTCGGCGTCGGGTTGCAAGCGGCGGAGTTGGCGACTGCAGGCGGAGGTGTCGGTGCCATGGCCGTCGGGTTAGTAGTGCGGCGGCGCGCAGGTACGTCGCAAGTTGCAAACGACCGAATGAAGACGAACTCTCGGCGTGAAAACATTTGCGAGATGGCTCTGCCATGGGACATCAGCATGTCCGCAGTGGATGTCGCAACATGTCCCGCCTTTCTCGGAAACCTCCGATCTTGGATACGCGACATGTCGATCAACCAAACATCGTTTCTGGCAGGTTTTAAGCGCCACATTTTGATGCCACAAATACCACATCTACGCACGTGGGGCAACCGCAAGATCGACCAAGATGGCGGAACCCAAGGCGGTCCTGGACCAAAGCAGCTTCCAGCGCATGTCGGCCGACATGGAAGCGTACGATGAGAAGCGCGAGATCGTTATCAAGCATTCTCGAGACATCCTCAAGTCGAGCAAGCAGGCGATCTTCGCCATGCACCGCGGCAACATGGACGAGGCCAGCGAGAAGCTCGAGGTCGCCGACCAAGTGATCCAGCAGCTCGCGCCCTTGATCATGGAAGAGCCGACGCTGCGCCATGGATCGTTCTCGAGCGCCATGGAAGAGTATGCGGAGGCGCAGTGCTTTCGCCATTTTCTTACCGCGGGCACGCTCGTCGCCCTCGAAGAGCTCAACTTTGTCGATCGCGACGAGTACTTGGGCGGCGTCGTCGACTTTACGGGCGAGGTCACGCGCTATGCAGTCGTGATGGCGACGAAGCGCGACGTCGCCCGCGTCGAAGAGTGCCGCAACATTGTCGACGCCATCTCGGGCGAGGTAGTCCCTCCTCCCCGCATCCTCCTCGCCTGAAGCCGTGGTGCCTAGCTAATTCAATTTAGCTTTCGCAACTCACCGCTGCGAAAGAAGTACGACAGCCTCAAGTACAACCTCAAGAAACTCGAGCATACGCTGTACGAGCTCTCGCTCGTGGGGCCGCTCCGGGCGTTCAACCTCTCGGCAGGCGACGACGAGCCCAGCGCCGAGAACGACACCTCGCACTGCTAGACCCTTTAAACGCATGAACCGACCAATACTCTATTCGTCCATCTCGTCGTCTTCGTCGTCCTCTTCGTCGTCTTCCGCGTCAAAGAGCATGAGACGGCGGTCAGCTATCGATATGACACCAAGCACACCGCGTACACCGTCGCCAACGACCGCATCAAAGTTGGCTGTCGAGAGCACTCGCTGCTTTCGAAACGTGGGCACTTCTTGCGCCTACGACTCTGTAAGGTGACGCATTCCCGAGTCGTGCTACCTCGAGCGACTGCAGTGCGGTCCTTGTCCACGTCGATGCGGTCAATGGCGGTGCAAACGTGATCGAAGCGAGGGCCACCAGCGACAATCGCTCTACATGGATGATGTTCCATGAGCGTCACTTGCAGTAGGAAGATGAGCGTACGCTCCGAGCCAGTCGCGTGGAGGAGAGCGAGCTGGCTCTGTCCGTCGCGTGAATAGAGACACTGGTCCATCTACAAAGCGTGAGGTGGAGACTGTGAACGCAATGCTCTACTACGTACGAGTCGGTGCGACGGAGGGAGTCGAAGCACTGCCATGTGCCAGGACCCTTGGACGCGTCGCCCAAGCCCGATCGCACCATCCAGCGAAAACAGGAGAAGTGGCGCTGACGCGAGCTCGCCCATCTCAAAGCTGCTGGACGACGCTGTGACCAGGAGTGGCGTCGTCGGTGGGCCCAACGGATGGCCAAATCCATTTTCGCTCAAAAGCTGCGTGCGCCACGTCGCTTCGATCGCAGCGCAGAGCGCGACGAGGCTGTGCGAGGTATACTGGTCCTCGCCGTCGAGAGCAAAGGACGTGGAGGCTTCGAGGCGCGGGCTTGTCTTCCACGGACACTTGCCGAGCATCTACCCCGGGTCCTGCACACACGATACAAAATGGACGAGTGTACCTCGGCGACAGGGTTCCCGAACGTCACTTCCATCTCAAAGCCATTCGCAGGGTCGTGAACGCTTTGCGAGCTGTTGCAGTGGGCGCGGAAGACCTTGGCGGCGGTCGTGGCACGGAACAAGAAACGCCCAAGGCGCTTTGTATCGGGCAGCGAGAGCTTCGTCGCGGCCTTGGGGCGGGCCGTGCCGTGGGCCGCCATGATCGCGCCAAACCAGCGAAAAAGCAGAGCGTAGTCCAGCTCTGTTTCTCGCAGCGCGATCTGGAGCTGCTCGAGCTTGAGCAAGAACACTTCCACCATAGCAATCATGGTCGAGAGGTGCGCGACCGATGCCGGCCGCTACAATCTACCAGTGAGAATCCCTGTCCTTGGATCAATGACACTCTACGTGGGACGGCGCCGTGGACGTCAAGCCTCGGAGCTCGCAGAGTCGGAAGAGTACGTTGCAGGCGGCGACGCGGAGCTGCTCGTGAATCTACGACCAGCGTCGAATCAGCGAGATCGGACAAGCGGTCGCACCAGTGTCTGCATCGAGTGACACGCGTGGAAGAAGGCTTTTTGAATGCGCTGCAGGCTCTAGTCCAGACGATCGCCAAACGGTCAAATGCGGAAGCGACGCACCTGCTCTTGCATGTCTTGGGCAAAAAAATTGGTCAGCGCCGGAAACCCAAGGCCGGCGCAGAGCAGCGTATACATGTGCGCCTGCGATTCCGCATGCTTCAAAACCTCAAGGGGATGCATACTACCTGAGGGACTTCAAATGACGAGTACTTTGCGTACGCAGACGAGAGTAGACGCATCTTGGCCTCCAAGACCCGCGTCCCGTTGGTCCACTGCGCCCATTTCAATATGCACAGCGTTGACATGGCAATCGTACCTCGGTTGTGAGCTGCTTCAAGGTCGTATCGAGCGTGTGGAGCAGCTTTTGCACCTCGCGCACGTGGTGGGACACGACAAAGAGCTGGCCTTGGTGCGTCGGCAGGTCGGGCAGCGCGAGCGACAGGATCTGGCGACTCGAGTCTTCCTGTGAGCCAATGAGTAGCGCCGACAAGTCGGAAAGAAGGTGCAGCTCGGTCACGCTCTGGACGCCGGCGGGTTGCAGTCGGCGAATGCACACCGAGCCAAGGGCCCACAAGAGGATCGTGCCGCTTGTGTCGCCCGATGCAAGGATGTGGCGACTGTCGTCGAGGGCCGGAACGGTTGTAAACTTGGCGGCTGTCTCGGTTGAGGATTCGCTCGGCGGGTTCATGACGCAACGAGACGTTCGATCTTCAAGCCGATGGGTCGACGGCGCTGCGCCCGCCCTGCTGTGTATGAGCTTACTATATTCGAAGATAGAACGCACATACGCGGCCCAGTGGAGAGCAGATATGGCTTGCGTGTGCTCCCATGCATGGACTTTGCCGAAAAGCTGCATCGTTGCCTCGCCTGTCTCCATGTCGTAGAGCACGATCTTGCCGTTCGCATGACCCACAGCGAGCACAAGCCCTAGTATCATCATCGAATGAGACCCATGGGATGCAAGTAGTCGGTGTACCATCGGGTCGCCATGCGAGAACGGTCATGGGCGACTCGACGTCCGAGGGCGTCACGTGCAGCAGGCGCTGCCAGGACACCGTGCGCTACGCAAGGAGCCCATGACCTCGTAACCTCATGAAGATGCGTGGCGTACGTAGACGAGAAGATGGTCGTCCGTCGTAAGGACGGCGACGATGTCCATGGTCGGGCAGCATGCTACCGTGGCCGCGCCCAGGCTCCGCTCCTGGAGCACCGAGTAGGCGTGGCTCATCGACCTCGTATTAAAATATGCCAAGAGAACTTGCCTTTTGTATCCCATTTTATTGAAACGAAATCCTGTTGAGCACAGGATTGTAGGCTGTTGTTTCGGAAACAGCAGTCTGGGAGATTCTGTCTCCAACCAGCGTCTTTATCGAGTCCATACAGAGTATGCGAATTACAGTGTTAGTACTAGTACATTTCACCACGGAGGAGCAGCTTGGGCACGTGCTCGACGCGGCCGCCTTCGTGAGGACAGTCGTGCGGAAAGACGAGGAGCCGTCCGCGCTTGGGCTGGACGGGCGCCAGCACGGTGCGGTCCGGCGCCAGCGACGAGAGCAAGTTGGTCTCGCCACCCGATGCGCACGTCGAGAGGTAGATGATGAACGTCTTTGTCGACGTGACGCCATGGGCGTCCGTGCGCGAGAGGTCCGTGTGCGCCGGAAGGTACCCGCCGACGTCGCTGTAGTAGAGGAAACGCATGTTGGGAAAGACGTCGCGGCCGCAGCGCGCTTGGATCTCGCGGATGACCCAGCCGACGCTGTCGCAGTAGTACGACCGATCCGAGCATGACGCCTTCTCCTTGGGCGCGAATGGCAGCACCGTGTGGAGCTGCTCGAGCCGCTGGAGGAACGACTCGGGAAAGATGTCGTCCCAGTACCCACTGCCAGCGCCAGGGTGGTCCGCGTCGGCTGCAATGAGCTCGACAAACACAGGCGAGGATGCGATTTGCATTGACGCCAAGGCGTCCAGAGGAATGTCCACAGGTCTATGCGAGGACGAAAGTAGCTGAACGATGCTCGTGTGCTGCTTGGCCACTGCGACATCAAGCGGCGATGTTTGGGCGTTGTCGCATCGCGTGGGCGACGCGCCGGCGCCCACGAGGTAAGCGACGACGCGCTCGTACCCGAGCCACGCCGCGAGAAAGAGCGGTGTCTGACCGTACTCGTTTTGGCAGTCGATCTCGACGCCAGCAGCGATAAGAGCGCGCAGACGACTGCAATTGATGGCGAGGACGGCCTTGAACATGTTGGCATCGCGCTGGGAGCGTGCCGTACCAACGAAGAGCTCGACGGCGTTGTGGAGCGGGAGCGGTTTGACGAGCTTGCTTGCTTTGGTGCCACCGCTGCTTTTGCTTGGCTCCAACGGTAGCTGCAAGTAGAGGGCTCTCGAGGCCGCTGCAATGTCTGCTGGCGCCGTCGTCGTTGGCAGCGATGTTGATGCGATTTTGGACAACGGAGCGCGGGGACACTGGACGAGCACATCGCACGTCGGGCACGTCAGATCTTGATCGACGCGCATCGTTGCTAAGTGCGTCCAGAAACAGAGTTCGCACACGGCATGGCTGCACGGCGCCAGCTCCATGGACGGCACATTGGCGGCGCAGACACCGCAGACCGAGGCAGAGCGCGGCTGCGTGGATAAGAGGAGGAGCAGCCACGCCATGTACGGAGGCGGGTACTGCATCAAGCACGCCCGCGCCGTCGGAAACGTCGTCATCGTACCCGCGCGATCGTGGAACGAGGGGTCCGCGCCAGCATAGAAGAGCGCGAGCGCAATGTTGGGCGAGTGGTGCGCAGCGTACCGGAGAAGCTGGAGGTCGCCAGCGTACGTCGTGCAGTAGACATCCAAGTTGTACTTGGCGAGCTTGACGACGCCAAACTCTACGCCAACATGAGTCGTGGGAGCAGCGGATGGAGCGTAGTACGGGCAATGCTCTTGCTGCGCGCATGCTCGGCGTAGGCCGCGATGGCCTCGGGCGACAGCGCCGCCTTGTCCACGATGAGCCCGTTCTTGACGTGGTAGAAGGTCTTTTGCCGCTCGTTGCGGCGGTTGCTCCACCGGCTCGCGCCCTTCTTGCCACCACCAGCCTCGGCCATCCCAAACAGTGTCTATGTCACGTGGCGACGACGCCATTGGCTGGCGGGCTTTGGACCCGCTTTGAATTTTCACTGTATTTCTCACTGGATTTCCCACGTGATGGGTCGACGCAAGTGACCGATCCCACCAGCATCAGCGTACGAACCATAAACAAACGCATTCACGACTCAATGCTTTCGGACCTGATCGAGGACTGGATACTTTTGCGTGTCGTAGGACGACGTCGGAATATCTCTTGCGCACTGCCTTCTTCGGACGCAGGTACCGGCGACCGGGGCCTTTCAATTTGGGTGTTCATGCAGGTATATTCCGCTGATCAATGGCATTGAGAGTCATCCGAGGTCGCGCGTGCAGCGTGCTGGTCACCAACGAACGTACTTGTTGCGGGCGATGACTAACCAGCCATCGTTGGACCACTTGGCCGCTCGCCCAGGTTCAGTTCCAAGATCCATTTCCCACACACTGTTTATTTTACACGTATAGAATATAATATCGTGGTGATCTCCTTGGATCTCATCGCGCGCTGGATCCTCCACAGCATATTGCATCACCCGACGCCGCAAGTCGCGACCGACGCCGCGTTGCTGCATGGGCGACGCAGTATATTTTGTGCACTCTGTCAAGTGTCTTACCTGTCGGCAGCGACGGCTCGCGTAAAATCCCACATTTCCCACGCGACGTGAGTGCTGATTTTTGTCCCAGCACATGATCCTCGTAGACGGTGGGTGTTGGGCATTTTCCATTTTCGCCGCCGACGCATGATGTTCCTGCCGGCGTGGCAGACGCCGTTGATGCTCGTCACGCCCATGATGGACGCTGTGTCGCCGTCGACAGCGTCGGATGACTCGCAGCGCAAGAAGGACGACGCGCGCCTTCGCAAGCAAAAGTACAACCGCGACCGGCTGCGCCAAAAGCGCACCGAGTACATGGCCGAATTCCAGGCGCTCGAGGCCCAGATTCGACAGCTCGTGGATTTGCGCGACGAGGCGCTGCGAGGAAAGCAGATTGGCGTCTTGCCCTGGGTCGAGGTCGCGGCGGCGCTCAAGGCCGACAGCAGCCTCTCTCAGATGCAGAACCGCGAGCTGCTCAAACAAGTACGGGCCGCGGAAGCGCTCTGCAAGTCGCTGCGCAGCTGGGTCGCGTCGCGCATCGTGCATGTACGCTCTCTTTCTTAAAGTTGGCAATCTTACATGAGCACCAGGCGACGCTCAACCCCGAGCACACGTCGTGGCGCGAGTCCATGATCCCAAAAGACGATGCGAGCCGGAAGCTCGGTCTCGACTGGATCTCCAAGCGTTTATACCACAACTTGAACGGCGTTATCGAAGCCAGTGGGCTGCCAGGCCCGATCGACAAGACTGCGTACTACCGCATCGACGTCGAGCGCCAGAACGACACGTACCGCCTCTCTGAGTTCAAGCAGCGCGTCGAGCGCGTCCGGTTTGATATCGCCACGCGTACGCTCAGCGCCCAGTACTTTGAGACTTTCGACGGCGACGAGGTGGGCAGCTAGCATCCGATTTCTTGAAGCTGACGTGTGCCACTCTCTTAGGAAGAGCGCCAGAACGACGACATGACGTATATACGGTACCCTTCGCTCTACGGGCGCACCAACAACGTGCCGTACACGGAGAAGATGCTCGTGCGGCAGTTCAAGGAGCAGCATCGATTTGTTATATTTACACACGGCGTGCCCGACGACGCCAAGTATCAAGACCCGATCCGGTGCGACTGGTCGGCCTGGTACTCTGCAGCGTATCCCACGTCTCGGCACTGACATGCGTGGTAGGGTCGTCGTCACTGACCTTGGCGCGAACGAATGTCTCTTGCAATTTGGCTACACGGCGTACGGACTGCGATGCGACGACGGGTATTTGCCGTTCGAGGTCGAGATGCCGGCGCTCGCGGCCTTCTCCGGCGACGACGATGACACGCGCTTTGCGCGCTTCCGGCACAAACAGCGCGACGACCGGCTTCGACGACAAATGGAGGACGTGGCAGCATTCCAAGAGCGCTGTAGGCAAATGGAAGCGGCCGTGGCGCCGTCCAACAACGGTAGTAGTCCCAACGTGATTGTCCCATGAGACCGTGCGACTAAGATCGATGCCCTTCAACCTCTGCGATGGAAATGCGTATCTTGCATTCGAACTGGATATGTGTGCAACTGTGCACCTGGGATATCAGGGATACAACAGGCATTTTGACCGCCGACATACGATTTAGTCTGGCTTCTCGGCCCGGATTCGCCCACGTGACGCCCTTTTTGGCGAATCAAACGTCGAGAGGCCGGTTGCACGACGCCGGCCATGGGCAACACGGCCGAAGACGATGCACCGCCGATCGCATGGACGAGCACGCCCGAAGAGCGCAAGGAGCGCGCGCGGATCAAGAAGCAAGACTATAACCGCGAGCGGCTGCGGCAGAAGCGCTGCGAGCACCTCACGGCCCTCACAGCGCTCACGACCGAGTTCAAGACGCTCTCCGCGACGCTGGCCCGCGCTCGGGCAACAACATCGACGTCGCTACTGCCATGGACGGCCGTGGCGGAGGCCCTTCGCGAAGAGCGCGACCTCAAGGAGGCGACAAACGCGGCGCTCAAGCAAGGTGTGCGGCGCTACAGGCACCTCTGCCGAACGATGCTGCATTGGCTCACTAGCACCGAGTCCATTCGCGTACACGCTCACAGTCTAGAGCGCGCATGCTTTGCTCACTCTGCGTGTAGGCATACCCAACGTCCGAGAGACGGGCGTGGAGCTACAGTACACTGCCGTTGGACAGCGATGCGCGCGCAATCGGCCTCGGTTGGATCGCCCATCGCCTGTACCACAACCTCGACGGGTACCTCGAGCGGAGTGAACTGCCCACGCCGACCAATGGCGACCGTCCATACTACCGCCTGGACGTCCGGGCGCACGAGAATTCGTATTTCTTGACCGAGTTCAAGCAGTTTGTCGAGACGACACCGCTTCACGTCGTCGCCCAGTGCCTCTACGACCACTACTTTGAAACCTACGACGGCGACTATGTACGCGATTCCGCGTTGCATCGACTGAGTCGTGTTGTAGGTCGACATGCGTGGGTCCGACTTCTCGTACGTGCGCTACGCGTGCCTGTACGGCCTCGAGCTGCAGCGGTCGTTTCCAGAGCGCATGCTCACGCGGGTTTTTCGAGAAGAGAATCGGTGTATCGTCTTCACCCACGGCGTCTCGGAAGACGCCAAGTACAGCGACGACCCGATCAAGTCGCAGTGGACGGCGTGGTACTTGGTCGTATTACTCGCTTCTAGTTTTCTCCACAAGAATAGGGTCGTCGCCGAGCGCATGGATACCAATACGACGGTCATCAAGCACGGCTTCGAGTCCTTTGGCCTGCAAACAAAGGCGGGCTTCATTGACGTGGCCGACGAAGCGCCGTTCTTGCGCGACGTAGCCAGCGACGACGCGGCGCGGTTCGCCCAGTTTCAGCGCTATCAGCGCGACTACCGCGGTCGGCGATTCGTGGACGAGCACGATCGGTTTGCCAAGCGTCTCGCCAACTGTCGAGGCAACGCCTAGTGGCTAGTAGCAATATATCTATATATGCACTGTACTCTACGTATCGAGTATCGACCATCTACTCTTGTGGGAGCTTGCCTCGGCGCTCGGCGCGACGCGCTTGCAACTGATTCTCAAAGAACGCTGTCATGAAGCGGTAGCTGCACAGAAAGCTGCGGAAGACTTCGCCCTTGATCTCGATCAGCGTCGTGTCGGATGTGCAGCGCACGCTCGCTTGGCGCTACACGCGTTCATCTAGACCACACGTCCATTGTATACAAACAAAGAGTACCACGGGGTTCGAGTCGGCCGCAACGCCCAGTGGAAAACAGTCGCCCGTCGTCATGTGCTCGACGACAACATTGTCCATGATGACGTCGACGGCGCCGTCGGCAATGATGTAGTACGAGTCGCAGACGTCGCCTTGGCGATAGACATGATCGCCATTTCTAAACGCCGTGTGCGTGATGGATCCGTGGGCGTCTTCGATCGATTGAAGCAAGTGCGCGTGGGCCTGGCCCATCGCGCGGTCGGTCAGCGAGGCCTCCAGCGTCTTGTACATGTTGCTGACGTTGGCCAAGTCCTCCCGAAGCAGCTTGAGCACCTAGAGAGCTTTGCGTCAACAGGAGCTCGCAATACGAAGTTTGGGACCTTGCACGTGGGCGAGGCGCAAGCATATGTAGCCACGCGAGGGTGGATGGCCTCGGGAGCGAGGAGCTCCATCACACCAAAGTACTCACCCGCTTCGAGCGTGCGCAGTTGAAGTACTGAGTCGGGTGCCATGGGGTTCGCGCACCTCGCGTGCACCGTGCCTTCCATGAGTACGTAAAAGTGGTGGTCTTCGTCGCCCTCGGCGGAAATGACAGCGCCATAGTCGTAAACGCCGGACCGGAGGCTGCAGATCGCGAGCTTGATGTCATCATACGTCAGTTGTTTGGGCGCGGGGATCTCAGGGTCCCCGGTCGCCGCCGCCAGCATCTCGCGAATGTCGCTGTCGCTTAGCTGTTTTCTGTGCAATGTGCCACGTCAAATCGACTTGTTCGCTGAACCAAGAGAGGCCGTACCCGAGCTGCGCAGCCACGCGACGGAGATCGTCGTCTGAAATGTAGCCTTTCCCGTCCTGGTCAAAGACACTGAGTGTCGAGGCGAGCATCGCGGCCTTCTCGGCCACCGTCTCGGGGTTGGAGCTCACACCGCGCGCAAAATGGGCGACGTTAGCTTCGTCGTTGTCGTCACTGCCGACGTCTCGCTTGTCGTCGTCATCGTTATCGTCCACCGGGGGCTGCAGCAAGACGGCAAGGATGCTCGCGCGAAGCCGACGCCGTCCGCGCTGGAAACGCAGCAAGCGCGCGGCGACCTTGTGCAGTGGCTGGACGCTAATGGACGCATTGTGGGGCGATAACCACGGGTGTCGCAGGGCGTCGTAGGCAGTCAGCCGCTTTGCAGGGTCCACAACCAAGAGCTTTTGGATCAAGTCCTTGGCCTCGGACGAAATCCGCCGCCACGCCCGCGTCTGCGTGTTGAACTGCCCCTTGACGATGCGCTTGCCAATCTAGCGACCTCGCTTGAGCTTCATACGGCGGGAAACAGGTACCTCTTGGTCCGAGAGCGTATTGAACGTATCGAACGGATGGCTGCCGCAGAGAAGAATGTAGAGCACGATGCCCAGCGCAAACCTACATTGTGGTGAGAGATGGCATAGTCTGACGCTTAGTGGCGTCCTACATGTCGGCTTCAGGGCCCACGGACTGCTTTGTAAAGGCCTCGGGGGCGCAGTACGCCGGTGTACCCGTGATCGGCACGTCGCTCGACCGCTCGCCAATGCGGAACGAGACGCCAAAGTCGACGAGGCAGAGCTCGTCGCCACGAAGCTAAACAAACACATTTTCAGTGCCGTCTTCGGCTCGTTGAGAGGACCATGATGTTTTCGGGCTTGATGTCGCCGTGAACGATGCCCTTGCGGTGCAGGTAGTGCATCGCCTGGCAGAGGTCGCGCAGCGCATTGCTCGCCTAATAGAACGCTTCATGCTTCATTTACGTCCGTACAAATGCCACACACCATTTTTTCCGAGTAGGCGCCATTGGCAACGAGGTGGTCAAAGAGCTCGCCGCCCGTGGCGAGCTCTTGCACAATGTACCACGCGTCGTCCGACTCGTACACGCCGCGCAGTGCCATGATGTTGTTGTGGGCGCCGGCTATCTTGAGCAGGTCGACTTCGGCCCAGAACTCCCTATCCCATAGTACGCATGTACTACCCACTCGGATGGATCGTACTTGGACGACGTGCTTTGCTTCGACATCTCCTTGACAGCGACAACTTCGCCGGAGCGCCGATCGCGCGCCTTGCGGACGACGCAAAACCCACCTATCCGAGGTTACGGTACCCTCCAGACAACGCCGCAGGATACCTTCGCCAATGATGTCATCTAAAAGGACATAGTCGTCTTGGAGCTTGGCGCCAAGAACGTGCTCGTCGGTGTTGACGGCCATGGCCGCGCTGGCCGCGACGCCGAGGGCCGCCACGGCGCGGAGCACGCGCTGCCACTGCTCGTTTGGGGGCGCCGGCGTCGTCCACGCAGCTTTCGGCCAGTGAGTTGCTTCCTGCGCACCGGGACGTGGTAGCCGGCCAAGGCGCTGGACGAGAGCGCGTCGGGCGCGTAGCATCACCTCCTGAATGGTCCCGTCGGCCGCGACTCGAAGTTCAACCGGTAAACTTCGACGAGGCTAAACGCACGCACTTGTTCGCGCCACAACGGAACTTGAAGCGCGCGCACTTGCACCCGCGATCCGGACAGTTTCATTTTTCCTCGACCTCTATGCCCCGCCGGCGCGCCCCATCGCATCCCGACGTCCTCGCGCTTGCGGCGCGCGCCAGCCACGGTGCGGACGCGCCTCTCAAGGACCAGCTTCTCCGGCGGGTGACATCCTCTGTGGCGGTGCCATCGCAGCAATCCTCCATGTGCCGAGACGACAGGCCACGCAACCAGGCGCCCGAGAACCTCGACATCATAGGTGCGGGCGTCCGTATACGGCAGACTGACAGCAACGTACGTAGACTCGGCGGACAAGCTCCTCGCCTACATGCTGCACGTGATCGACTCGCGCGGCCGGGTCGAGCCCCGGGCCATTTGCATCCAAGGTTCGTCTACGGCGATCAAATTGTGTTGGTCTAAGCAGCGCTAGAACCACTGACGCTGCAAGACGCGGTGTTTGCGCCTCGGCGCAAGCCCATCGAAGTGCTGTATCTGACGTACAACCCGCACCCGCCGTGCCACTTTCGCAACGTCTACTGGCTCGTGCGGGCGCCCAAGGACATGGACCTCCGCGACGAGTACTTTACGCTCACATCGTATGGCCTCACGCGCGTCTTGGGCCTCGAGTCGGGTACCGTATCGAGAGGCGTCTTGTCAAGTTGAGACGACGGGTATAGAGCTCTTTGACCTCGAGGCGTGGTTGCGGGAGAAGGCCATTTTCGACAAGATCGTTCAAATGCAGTGCATTCACCAAATGCGCAAAATGACGGTCTTCCATACGTGGAAGCACAACACGATCGGTCTGCGCATCGCCCACGCCAAGTACCTCGCCCTGTCTTGCGTACGACTCATGGGGCATTAGGAAGCAGCTGGGCGAGGCGCTCCTCGCGTGTCACCCGATCGCAGGTCCCTTCCTGCTCACGGTGCAGCGACTCGTGTTAGACGTACGTACTTTGCGTTGTGCTACATGATTACACAGATCCACTAGATGATCCACGCCCTCTCGAGCGACATTGTGCCCCGGGGCAACCCGCAGCCGGTCCAAGCGTTGTCCAACGTAATGACCTTGACAAGACGTTTCGACTGCTCAAATGCTGTGCTTAGAATCGCGTACCGACGGAGGCGACCCGCGCACAGATAGCGTCCACCGTCACGCATATCCAAGCGCTATTGCTCGACGCACTCCACCGACTCCGCGCCGGGCCCAATCCCGACGTGACCACCGTGCGCTACGGCCGTCTCTTGGCCAACGCCGACGTCCTTCCCGTCTTGATCCGCACCGTGGACTTTATGCTTCTTGGCGCGTACTTTGGCGGCATCATGACGGCCCTCGAGCGCCTCAACGTGTCGGTGACTGGCTCGATTGTGTCGGCCCTCGAAGCACGCGGCTCGAGCACAGTCGGCGTAGCAGGCACGAGCGGGGCCCGTGACCGGTACTTGCACATGGACCAGCTCCTAGAGATGCCGACCGAGCACAGCGGGTCGATCGCGTACAAGCGGCTTTTTCACTTGCACGGCGACGCGCTCCCCGACCCGCTCTTCTTTGTTGAAATGACTGTCGGGGATGCCGTGATCATTTCGCCGACCAAGGACGTGACTGTTCGCCACGTGTACGAAGCCATAGCGTTCGCGATCGAGTGCGTCGACGCCTTCCCGCGCGTCGTCAACGCCGAGCGGGTCCGGGCGTTTGTCCACGATCACTGCCGCCCGTTTTATAGGCACTGCTTTGGGCAGCACCTCTTGCCCGCGTCCGCCACGCTGCGCAACCACAGCGTTGTCGAGCGCATCATGAAGGGTCTGCGAGCTGCCACCGACATTTACTATGTCGAAATGGAGGTCTTTCCAGGCCGACGCATATAATGGCTCATGCGGCGTAGGAGCTTGCGCAGGCGAGTCGGCTTGTACACGTCGAGTTTGCTCGGCTCCAAGATCAACTCGCAGTGACCACCCGAGACGAGACGGAGCTCGAGTCAAACGTGCTGAATGCTATGCCCGAGAGCAACACGAGCGATGACCTGGTCGCGTTCGTTGAAGCCCTCGAGATGACGCTGCAGTTCCAGGCCGACTTGCGCATGGTCGACAGCTTGCTCCAGATCGGCCCGTTTCTCGTCAACCGAAGCGCGTTTATCGGCAGCAGCTTGGACGCGTGCTCGGCGATGCTACGTCGGCTCTTCGACCTCGCGCCTGTTCGTTGCAACTGCTACTACCAGGCATCGCATGCGTCGTACGTCGGCCACACCAAGCTGCTCTCGTCGATCCCCGACTCGCTCGCTGAGGTAGGTCTTTCCTCCCCACACTTCCATAGACAAATGCCTAGTCGGTGGCGTGGCTGGAAACCTTCTTGATGTTGCGCACGGATTTGCCCGACGACGCCGAAGACGGCGACCATCCTGCCGCGCGCCTCCAGTCGCTCCTGCAAGCGAGTGATGTATCGTGCGACAGCATCGACTACGAGACCAAGTGCGCCCTCGTGGGCAAGACCAAGACGGACCAAGGTACCACCGGTAAATGTACTGTTTAACGATCCTGCCGATAGTCAAGTGGCGCGTCGCGACAAAGTCGCTGCACGAGTGCATCAGTCGTATCGAGACCAATAGCTCGTTTTACATGGAGATCCTCACGCGCACCATCGCTGTGCGCCAAGAGACACTCTTCTCGGAGATGCAAATGCTCTGGACGATGCTCGAGATCGAGTGGCAAGCGATCCAAGCCGAAGACGCGGCGACGGAGGCTGTACCGACCGGCTTTTACGGCCGCGCCAAGGCCGTGCCCGACCTCGTGTCACAAACCAAGCTGCTCTTGCATACGGACGCCGAGCTGCGTCGAATTGTTGGACGCTTGGAATACTTTGATCCGGCGCACGCCGGCTTGTGCCAGCGCCCGTCCAAGACCGCCAAGCAGCGCGCCTGGCTGCAAGGACTTCTCATTCTCCACGACAACATCCAGCGCTTGATCGACCTCAAGACACGGGTCGCCAGCGAGCCGTTGAACGTACTGGACATGACGGCGCTTGCACACACCTTGGAAGCTATCTCGTGGCAGATTCATCCTCTCGGAACGGTTTTAGGACCTTCGCAGCCGCTCCTACTGCGATTCCAGCGCCACTTTGCCGCCATGGAGCTCGCCATCGCGACGGCGGAGCGCATGCTTTCGTTCAAGCCCGACACATGGCGTTCGATCGCGTCAACGCCCGATGCATGCACGCTGAGCCAGCTCGACGAGTGGCTCGCGACGCCGACAAAGAAGGCCGAGCTCGACGCGCTCTGTAGCGAATGCGTGCTCCAGCTCTCGGTGCACGCGACGTGGAGGACCGTGTCGGACCAGTTGCGACGCCTCACGCTGACGCTGACGCCGATGCATCGACTCGTTTTCGTCACCAACGTGCACGACCTCATTGCTGCGTGTGAAGACGCGCAGCTCTCGCTGCTGACCATTCAGCACCGCGGCAACCCCGCGCTTAGTGAGTTGCAGGCGACACAAGCATCCCTGGCGCGGGCTCTCGACGTTCTCTACAACTTGGACCGCCTGCAAGAGGCATGGCACGCCACAGGTGTTCTCGTCGACCTCCCGGAAGCGCGCAAGGTGTGTGATGCAACGTTCGATGCAGCGCTCCAAACGCTCGACGTCGTGAGCTCCCAGTGGCGCGACAGAGTCATGGGCCTCTCGCGCACGCTAGAGCTGCAGAACCAAGGTCCAACATTAGAGAAGCTGCGAGCTGCCTTTGACGGATTTGACTTTAACGCAAGCATCGCCGCATGCGACGCCCTGGGTGCCGCCATGGCCGCGACGTATGCCTCGATGCGGTCTGAAGTCCCGCGGCTCTGCTTTCTCTCGGACGCCGATCTCTGGGCACTTGTGACGCGCAAGGCGTCACCGGACGCTGTCCGCGACATCGTTGTGCGCTGTTTTGATGGTGTTGCCGACGTTGACGTTGTCGTGGAGGCCACGACCATTGTCTCGGACGACGCGATGACGAGCCACTCGTTTACCCAGTGGATGCTGGCAGGACACGCCGTGACGCTTCTCGAAGCCGTCGTCTACCTCGACGGCATTCGACTGCAGCTGCCCCAGCCGTTCCGAGTCGTCGGTAGTCTCGTCTTTTGGCTTTCACGCCTCGACACGGACCTGCGCCGGGTGATGCTGACGCTCCTCGGAGAGGCCCAGGGGGCCATCACCTACGACGCGTCCAATTCTGCGCTTTGCGAATGGCTCTCGACCTACTCGTTGCCAATCGTGCTCGCGTATCTGCACAAGAGCTTTTGCATCTCGGTGCACTGCGTCCTGCACGCGAAGAGCGCGGCTGTCGCGGCCAAACACGTCCAGCTCACGACCACCACGTCGACACACGCAACGCACTTTCTGCGCCTCGTCGCCTCACTCCGGCACCCGCGGCCCATGAGCACGGTCCTGAAGCTCGAAGCGGTCGTCTTGCTACTCAAGTACGAACTCGAGACGCTCGAGGCGATGACGCAGGTGGCGTCGACGCGCGAGTGGGCCGATGTCACCAATGCCTTCCACTCTGCATTACGATTCGAGTCCCCGCGCGAGAACGACAGCAGCCACTTGGTCGCAGCCATGGGCCATGTCACAATGGCATGTGACGTGCACGTTGACGTCCACGCGCCACTGCTCTTTCTGACGCCACCGACCACACGGTGTGCGTATGCCTTGTTGCACGTTCTGCAGCTCAACCTCTGCGTCGTGCCGTTCGCGCAGCACGGGTCTGGGAAGCGCACGCTCTTGCGCAGTCTCGGTAGCTTTCTCATGCGGTACTTTGTTCTTTTTCAAGCGAGCGAGGCAACATCGCACCGCGTCCTTAACCATTGGCTCGCGGGCGTCGACGCGCTCCGCGCGTGGGTGTGCGTCACCGACGTCTTTGCGTTGCCGCTCTCCGTGCTGCGGGTGTTTTTCGCTGATGTTTTGCAGCTCCAGCATGTCCGGTTTGGCCCTACGATCCGCTGGCGCCACGAGGATGCAGGCGGTGCGCTCTTCCTTCCGGTCCATGGCCTCACGCCACCGACGCACGTTTTGGGCCCCTGGCTCGGTCAGCCGCTGCGTCCGCTCGCTGTCGTAGCGCACGACCGCCGTCTCTTGCTCCAGAGTCTGCTGTACATGAAGGGGTTTTCCGAACCCGTACGTGCTAATGTACCCGATGCGTTTGTTCTCATCTGCAGCTAGTTGCACGCCGAGCTGGATGGTTTCTTGACCACCCTTGTCCTGCTCGAGCCGAACGCAGAGCGCTTTTTCACAGTGAGTCTCTATCTGCGCGTGACGACGCTGGCGTCGGCCATTGTGAAATCGGTCAGCTACATCCTCCGCTCGGCCGAGCACGCGGCGTCGCACCTGACGCACAATGCGTCACCGCTCAACATTATGCGCTACAAGGACACCAACGTCCTGCGCTTTGCGTTGCTCCTCGTGCTCTCGCCACTGGTTGACGCGACGCCGTTGACGTCGGCCTTGGACCGCTTTTTCCCGTCCAATCTCGAGCTCGGACAGGAATACCGCATGCTCGAGGCAGCGGTCCGCGTCGTGCTCGAGAAAGCATCCCTCGTTGCGACCCCTCAACTGGTGGCCAAAACCGTTGCCCTGTACAACCAAATCCAGGTCGCTTGCGCGATCCAGGAGGCAACACCTCACTGCGAAGTAGATGCGCGCACCCGTCCTTCTTGTGGGACCAGCGGGTGCCGGTAAGTCGACGCTACTCAAAGCGTGCCTGCAAGCCCAGCAGCTCATGCGGTGGACCATGTGCCCGCAGTCGGACCCGTCGACGCACCTCACCAAGCGCATCAACCTCGTCGTCTTGGGTATGATTGAGCTGGAACACATGCAGCTGCACTCGCATCTGCGCCGTCAAGGGTCGACGAATGCGATTCTGCACACGTTCTGCCAACGTCCGCCGATCGTAGCGACTGAGACGATGAGCTGCGTCTTGTTCGATGGTCCGCTGCCGCAGCACCCGAGCGCGCTCGAGACCTTGGTGTCGCTTCTCAGCGGTGACCGCCATCTGTATTTCCCACCGCCGCTTCCGCCACAGCACCGCGCTGCGAGCTTTGACTGCACCATACTCGAAACAGCTGCGTTGAGCGATGCGTCCCCGGCGATCGTGACGTCATGCAGCATCCTCAGCCTCAATGATACCGTCGTTCCGTGGACGGCGCTCGTCGACGCGTGGTTTGCACAGCAGGGCAGCGTGCTTCCGCCTGGATTCGTGGCGCTCGCCAAGCCTATGGTGCTCCACTGCCTCGGCGCGTGTACGCTGCCTCAATTGCAGCTGACGACGCCGTCGGTTCCGGTATCGCAGGTGGTCGCGAATGTTCTCAAGCTCTTGACTGCCATGTTTGGCTCGCTTGTGCACGATGGCGCGTCGATTTGGCCGCTCTCACCGACCGTGACGGGCCAGCTGGTTTTTTTGCTGGTGCTCTGGGGCACAGGCGCGCACTTGACTAGCGAGCGCCGACGCGACCTTCAAGCGTTTGCCCTCGGTGTTGCCAATATGCCACCGATCGTGGTCGACGCCAATGGTCTTGTGCACCAGTTTCCGCAGCTGCCGCACGAGACGCAACCAACGTTTTTTGAGATCGTGTTTAGCGCGCGGGACCATGCATTTGGGCTCACGAGCGCGTGCCAGGAGACGACGCTCGCGCTCCAGCGGGTTGCCAGCGCTGTGATTGTACCGACGGCCCAAATTCGGTTTGCGTACTGCACCTTTCAAGTGCTTCAGAAATGGAGCGCCACCAGATCGATGCTTTTCCTTGGTGGACGTGGCGTCGGGAAGAGCACCCTTCTCTCGGTTCTGCCGCGCCTCGTTCGCGGCCACAAGACGCGCGTGTGGAGTCGCGCCAGCACCGAGCATCGCTATGTGTCGCTTTTGCACCGGATCTTGCACCAAACGAGCGACGACAAGTACGTCTTTCTCGATGACGTCAACTGTTACGGTCCGAGTTTGGAGCTCCTTCGGTGTGTGCTGAGCCACAAGCGGCTTTTCGACGCCGTTCGGAGCCAGTGGACGCGGCTTCAGATCGCGTTCTGCGGGACCATGTCGCTGGCCCACAATGCGCCACTGTCACTGGCCGAGCAGCGCTGCCTGCGACCGTATTTCCTCCTGCGTCTCACGGATCCTGACGCGACAGAGCTCGCAGCAATCCATAGCGCAATCGTGCAAGAGCGCCTTGGGCGTCCGCTCGCGCCTAGCGAGCACTGGATCGTCCGAACGACAGTCACCGCGGTGCTGTCGCTGTCGAGCAAGCCCGCGAATCGCATTCTTCTCTCGCCGACCATCACCGCCGACGTGATACGCAGCACGCTGCGCGGTGAGGTGCCCAACGAAGCACTGACGCACGCTCGCTGGCTTCGCGAGATGCACAGTGCGATGTATAGCGCATTTGCGTCCGAGACGGAGCGCACCGACTGGCTCCAGCAATTCAAAGCTGATATCCCGTCTCACACGACCCCTCCCGAGTTTGACTCGGATGCAAGCTTTTTGCCACTGGTACGTACGTTGCCGCTACCGACGGCTGTGCTGGACGCCGCCGAGAGGTCGGCAGAGACAGCCTTTGATGCTCTCCGCGCGTTCCTGCTGTCGAGCTTGAAGCCCACGGCTGTTGACATGGAGTGGACCGCGCGGTTGAGTCCGCCGCTCATATGGCACTACGTCCAACTCTGCGCCATACTGGAAGCGCACCGTCATGTCATGTGCATTGGCTCTGGCGAGCTCGTCGCTGCGTACATGCCCCTACTGCCCCACGTTGTTCGCACGTGCAGCCAGCCGCCGCCCATCGTCTTGGCAGACTTGACGTCGGACGGTATGTGACGACTCTACGCGTGCAGTCCTTAGTGTTCAAGCATGTAGAAGACGTCGTGGCGCACCTTGCGTCGTTGCTTTTGGCGACCGGTATCCACGACGAACGACGCATCTTGTGCGCGACAGAGGCCGACTGGACGCAGTGGCCGCGCGTGGCGCTCTTTGTACACGGTAGAGCGTCATAAACACTCGCTTGTCGCACGACATACTCTATAGATATTCTCGACGGTAACCACTCGCAGCTGGCGCGGTCCGTGGTCCTTCAGCACGTTGTCGCGACGCCTCTCTCGAGCGCGTCGCATGTCGACATCCTCGACGCTTTCATGCGGCGCGTGCAGCGCCACCTCACACTCGTTCTCTGGGGCTCCTCCGCGTCCATCGCACCACTACTCACTCATGCGAGCGCCAACGTCCGCGTCATAGCCCTTCAGTCGCCGCATCGACACGAAGCCGACTTGCTATTGGCGGCCAAAGGGACCATGACACACCTACGCGACGCGCACCCTGACCTTGGTCTCTCGCTCAGTGACTGCGACCACTTGGCCACGATCAGTGTCCAAGTGCACGCGAGCGTCGCGTCGCCGACCAAGAGCCTCGGGCATCTCCTCGAGACCTTTGTGCATATCATGGCGTACAAAGCCTCCAAAATGGCCGATGTTCGCATCGAGTCGGTCACGCAACTCTTGACGTGGCTCGATACGCTCAAAGCGCAGTGCCACGACGCCACCGAGCGGCTCGAGCAGCTTGAGACGGCGTTTGTCGCAGCCCAAGATCGGCGCGAGGCCGCGGAAGCGTCTTTGGGCCCGATGCAAGCCCAGCTGACTGCGTCCAAGGGCTTGAACGAGCGGTTGGCAGAGAAGTTGCGAGCGCTGCAAGAAGCCTTTGGCTCAGACAAGCACGCAATGGAAGCCATCGAACGGCAAATTCGAGCCGAACGCAAGGTTCTCAACAGTCTGCTGCTCCCGGCGTTCACGCTGGCCGACCGGCAAAAACTTGCAGACGAGTGGCGTCACGTCACAGCCTGTCGCCACTTGCTAGCCGCGATGTGTCGGGTCCATGGCGTTGACGACCACAACGTGGAGGCGGCCTGTCGCCTTGTGGAGAACCCAAACACGCGCATGGAACTTCTTGCGATGCGATTATCTGCAGAGAGCGCAACGCAGCCGTTCGGGTTCACGGCAGCAGACATCCCGACGCTGCACACGTTGCACCCGGCGCTCGCGGTTCTCGGTCGCGCCCTCCTCTATCAGCGCGACGCGGCGAGTGCTGATGCACAGGTGACGCGCCTCTCGGGTGCCAACGCGCGCCGCACGAGCGACATCGAGCAGGTGCGCACCGAGCTCAAGGAGCTTCACGCGTCCATGGCATTGCTCGAAGCCTCGATACTTCGCACGGGAAATGGCGTCGCCTCGGACACGCAGGCGCTTGGAGAGCTGGCGACGGCCATGGAAGCTACCGAGGCAAATGTGGACAATCTCGCGCCGCTTTTGAGCTACCTCGACCGTCTCCAAGCTCTTATCCGAAGCACGTACTTTGCGCAGCGCTACGCGACGCACTTGACGTCTGAGGGCGCCGCACTCTTCACTTCGGCTATGGTCGCGTACCTCGGTCCGCTCGATACGGCGGAGCGAGCGCGCTTGATACAGTCGTGGTCCCTTGTCTTCACAAGCAACAACTATGTCCTCCCACTGGAGCTCGGTATTGTGCAGGACAGCGCCGTCGCGCTCTACTCGACCCTCGAGGCAAGCATCTGCGTCCCAAACATGGACAAGCGGCTTCAGCATGGCCTCGCGATCGCCGACTGGTCACAGACGTGTCCGCTTCTCGTCGACCCGAACGGCGCAGCCGAAAGCTACATGGTGGCCTTCTTCCAGCGCATGACGAGCGCGACGCCGGCCGTGACGTACTCTGTCTACTCGACGAGCGACGCCAATCTGCTGCAGTGCCTCGACGTCGCACGCAAGGCGTCCAAGGTCGTCTTGCTCACGCATTACTCAACGAACGTGTCGGACGCGCGCTTCCGGCAGTTGCTCCCGTACCTCCGCGTGACGCGTCGCCCGCTCCTGGACGCGGCGCGCGGCCTCCCGCTCTTGTCACACAGCGGCTCGACCAAGCTGCTGCAGCCGACAACCGCACCAAGCCGGCGTGCGCGGTCGTCCTCGATGCCCGACCTCCGTTTTGTCGGTACGTTCCAGGTGTACGTCATTCTGAGTCCGCTGGACAACGTCGCCGACCTCTCGCAGCTCCAAAAGGCGCACTTCAATCTCATCGATTTCCAAGTCCCTCGGAAGGAACTAGAGAGGCGAAAACGCCGAACCCTCCACGCTCTCCTGGCCCCCAACGACGTCAAAGCCAACGACGACCAGGCGACGCTTGCACTCAAGGCCCAGGCGCAGCTGCGCAAGATGCAGGACGACGCGGTCGCTAAGCTCCTCGAAGGCGTCTCAACCCTCGACTCGGACGCCCTCCTAAAGCTCCTCACGCACCTCGAACAGAAAGACCGTGTTTTGCGGTCGCGGGTCAGCCGACTCCAGACTTCGATCGCGCCACCCGATGCGTTAACCAACGCAGCGCGCACACTGGCGTCGCTTCAGGAGGCGCTCCAGACACTCGCACCCCTGGACTCGCTGGCCATGCCGCGAGGCAAGTACATGCAAGTGCTTCTCGAAAAGATGCTGCATCGTGTGCTCCGCGTGTCGTCCAGCGACATGGAGTCGGTTCTCCTCGATGTGCTCGCCCGCGTCCTGGCGCATGTCGCCCGGCGCGTCGCGAGCGAGCACCTGGATGCACTCTATACGCTGATTGCACTGCTGCAGAGCGTCGAGACACCCACCGAGGTCCTGCGCTGGGTGCGGTTCCTCGCGTCGCCCGCGGCTCATGTCGCGCAGGCGGAGAAGGCGGTCGTGACCCAGTATTGCCGACGCGCCTCTGACATGCGAGGACCGAACGCCTCGATGGGGCATGTGCACCGCCTTCGGCGCCTCCGCAGCACGATCGCTGTGCCCGACCATGCAACGCACGACGATTCGCGCAGTCTCCACGGCCTCTCGCTGCCGCAGCTGCTGCCTGCCGCGCTGCCGCCACCGCACGCTCTAATCTCATCTGGCTTTCTATCGCAAGAGATGTACGAGGGCCTCGCGTTTCTAGAGGCCCATATGCACGAGCTACGGGGCCTGAGCGATGCCATTCAAGCCGACCCGACGCCATGGCGGCAGAGTCTGGTGAGCGCTCTCGAAAGCGAGCACAGCGTTCTTCTGTGGCCAGCACCGTGGACTTCGCGCTTGGCGCCGCCCCTTGTGTCGCTTTTGTGCACCAAATGCCTTTGCCCCGAGCTCGTTTCGATTGCATTGACGAGGCTCAAAGCCACCGCGCTCAAGGCCCTTCTTCCCGGTGGCATTTCGCTCCACGAAACCATTTGCACGCCGTATGTGGTCCTTGTTGCGCCCAACGACGCGCCGCTGCCCCAGCACGTGCACGAGCTCGATCTAAACTTGGCGTCACGGATCATCTTTCAACCGCGCACCGCCGCCGCGACGCTCGCCGCGGCCCTCGCCAGCGTACGATTCCATGTGTTCAATGTATGGTTACATTGGTTTCACGTAGGACACGAGCCTTGTCGTGCAGATCAGTTGTGCGGACGACGCCGACGCACTCCTGGAGATCCTGAAAGCACACACGCTACTGCACCCTGTCTTCATCCTCGTCGACGCGCTGCTCTTGCCAGAGCTACCACGCGCTCTTCTGTATCAATCGCAGATCGTGCGGCTGCCCATCACGCCTATGGTGGCGGCGGACGCGCCGAGCCCTCGGCTGATAGTGCACGAATCGCACTTGCACCACTCGGCGGCCGAGACACTTGCCCGCAAGATGCCGCGGCTCCATGCATGCGCCGTCGAGAAGAGCGAGGCGATGGCCGTTGGGTGGACGCAGTTTGTTGCCCGCGACTACCACCTCGAGGAAGCCGTCGCCACCTTGCAGCAGCTCTGTGAGGCAAGTGCCAACGACGCGGATGCCGTGGCCTCGGCGATCCAAGGTGGCGTGTACGGCGCCGATATGATTCCGCGTGATATGGCGGCCGCCACATTCCTTCTCACGGAGCCCGTGCCACGTCCACGAGATGTCAGCTTGTACTTGCGCAACGCCACGCACGCGCGTCACTCGCTGCGCTCCCAGAAGCACCTGCGTCGACTTACGGCGCCGCTCGAGCACGCGCCTTCGTCGTCGCTGGAAATGGTCAAGGCGATGCTGACGACCTATTTGCGACGATTCCAAGAGATCGCCATGCCAACGCGGTCGACCAAACCCGTCGTTGGGCACCGCGGCGTCGGGATGGCCGCCCTCGACGCGGTGTTTCACCGCCTCAAAGCCGACAGCTCGGCCTTCTACCACCTCCTCTTGACGTTCCTCTCGGGCGTGAACGAGTCGGCGCTGCCGTACCTCGACCTCCATGTGCTGCCGCCGTCGTGGCTTGGGCTCCCCGAGACGACGCACCTCTTGCCCGTGCGCCTCCATGCGCTTGTCGCGCAGCTCGACCGGCGCTGCGACTACCTGCACTTTCTTGGTCACCCGTCGGCGCAATCGGTCGACGTGGGCTTGACGCTGCACCTGCGTGACGTCCTCGGCCACATTCGGCTCGTGTACTCCGATGCGCTCGGCTGCTGCGTGACGGCGCTTCGCCTCGCCTTGCGCGCGAGCTGCTCAAAGGACGAGAGCGTCGGCGGCGTCGCGCAAGACGCTGCGCAACATCCGTGCGGCCTCGTGGTTGACAGCCTCTGGCTCTTCTACGGCTCGGCGTTCGCCAAGGTCCCAACGGCCCGCCTCGTCTGGGAGCAAAACCCGAGCGAGAGCCAAAGTCGCGAGCTTTCGCTTGCGTTCTATGGGCTGTGGCTCCTCCGGCACGTCGGCGAGGCCCCGTGGGGCGACCCTCGCGTCTTTACGTGTATACAAGAGAGCGTGGGCGTGGCGCCGAGCGACTGCAACGCGCTCTTTGGAGACGACGTGGGCGTGGATATGGTCGTCGAGTATGGCACGCTGCTGGCGCCAGCGCTGCCCGAGCTCCCGGACGTGGTCACGCTGCTGCAGCCAAGTCGACAATAGTACGCATAGCAATATATTGGGTCGCGGGTTAGCGGCAATTATGTGGATGCGTTTACCGGCCGTACTTTTGGAATTCCCACTCGCGGTTGTCGAGCGGGCAGACCTGTCGCGTCTTGAGCCAGCGGCTAATGCAGTGGAAGTGGAAGGCGTGGTTGCACACGCCCCAGGCGACCGTGCACTCCTCGCTCGTTGCCGAGGCCTGGTTGGCCTGGCACTCAATGCAGAGGTCCATGATGTGGTTGCGGCAGATGGCGCAGTTGTCGACGACGATGTCCCAGCTCCAGAGCGCAACCGCGTTCCACTTCTTGATCTCGAAGCGCTTCGGCTCGTCCACGTCCGCAGCCTTCTTCTCTTCTTCCATCGCCGTTCGAAAATACCAAGTCTGTGAGGGTTTGTTGGCCGGACCCTGTATCCGGATTCCGGATACGACCAAGGGCCAACTGCGTTAAGCATGGACGTTGGATCACACACGTGGAGCTGGCGTTCATGCGAGGGGGCCGTTGATTCAAGAGAGAAGGGTCCCCTCTCGTGCGCAGCCGAGTGGCGCTGGTACCATAAGTCCTCTTGACGCCACACAGCCGCCATATCTTGCGTATGGCCAATCGTACGTGTGGAAACCAGCATTTTTCAATACTTTTACCCAATCAAATACGGCATTTTGTTGTGTCAAGCTCCCTCCGGTGAGTGTTGGTGATCGCGTGGGAGGGGGCGCACCGTCGGATATGTGCAGCACAGTCGAGTTAAGTTATGCTGCACTCGGATCACTGCGATAACATGGGCGGATGTAACAACACGGCTTCGTCCGCCGTATCCATAGACGTACGTATACTCTGCGGTCCTCGTCTTCTTATTCTGCAATGAGCCCCACTTGCCATCCAGCCGATGGAGTGTGCTGAGCAGATAGTACTATGCGAACCGCCGCATCAACGCGTTCCGTCGGCTATCTCATTCTCAGTGGCTGTAGGTCAGTCTGTGGCTCCAGGGATATCCTTCGTCACTTCCTCGCCTCGGATTGGTGGAGCGTGAGAGTGACGAGCCAATCACATTATTTGACGCCAAGATTCCCTCGCAAATGCGCACCACGCAACCACGCAACGATCATTGTCGAACACGATCGACTGTCCATCGAAGCGTCCAAGCACCGACTTTCCAACACAAACCATTTTGCAAAGATGTACTCGGAGCTTCTCGCGGCGGCCACCGTCGGCCTTCTGGGCGCTGTTACGCTCACGTACAAGCGCACGCACTCGCCGCCGTTGCGCGCCGCCATTGCCTGTGCCTGCGGGCAGGTCCAAGGCCGCGTGGACGCGCCGGCTGCAACGCGCACGGTGTGCTATTGCACCGACTGCAACACCTTTGCCACCAAAGTGTCCAAGACGAACGCACCGCCATTGGACGCGAGCGGTGGCACCGAAATCCTCCAGCTCTTCCCCGCCGACATCACCTTTAGCCACGGCGCCGAGCACCTAAAGGCCGGTATTCTATCGGCCGAAACAGCAACCCTCCGCGTCTTTGCGTCGTGCTGCGGTACGCCCATGTACAACACGATGCAAGGAGCAGCGTTCGCCGGTCTTCTCGCGTCCGTGCTCCAAGACAAGGCGATGCCGCTACCCCCGATTCAATTTCGCATCTTTGCGCGGTCGGCGACAGGGCCGGTCCCAGACGCACCAGCGGCCGCGCGTGTGGTCTCGGTGCGCTTCGTTCTCAACTTTATGGTACGCTCAGCCGTGTACCGCTGCCGTGCATCACCCGCACCGGTCGAGTTGACGCCCCGCGTTCTCTTGTGAGCAGTCTAACGAACGAGGATCGTCCAGACGACTTTTCCACAACTGGACGTGAAGTTTGTTCGCATTGTCAGTAATATTACTTGCTCCCACAGCATTATTCATAAACAATTGGTTAAATGCTAGTGCTACGTCCAACTCAACGGCACCGGATTTGACGACGTGGGCCAACGGCTATGAACTAAAAGATCTATACATGTACGGCTAGAGTCAGAAACACTCCAAGAATGTAAAGCAAGGCGCTGAGGCTCGTTCCATAGATTTGAAAACGGTGTTATCAACTCAATGAACTTGCTTCAGAGATCCAAAAAACCAAAAACCATAAAACCAAATGCAAGGCAACGAGGGGACCGGCTGCCAAAACCAAGAATCTCACTCACCACTGGTTGCGTGCCACGAGTTCGTTCCAACCAGCAAGATCGTAGTACGTGCGGCCACGCAGCGCGGGCGTCGTTTCGAGCGTCGCGTGCAGCCACGTCATCTCGTCTTCCGAGAGCGTGTCGTTCGACCAAAGCGTGAGCCCATGCGTCGAGTTGGAGTAGACGCGCTCGAGCGCAGACCAACTTTGGCGCACGAGCGACGCCTTGATGGGCAGCGTCGCACTGACGTTCACGCCTTGCAACAACTGCAGCATCTCGTCCACCATGGCCGATGTGTACTCGACGCTCGCGGCCGACGTCGTCCAGCCGACACTGAGCTTGTCGACATCGCAGGCAGCAGCTTGCGCAACGAACTGCGCTGCATCAAAACTGGGTGCAGGAGCTTCGCTGCCGCGCAAGATGTCGGCGTTGAGCCAAATGCGACGACGCAAGCTCGCGGATGCGGCCGTGAGGTTGCTGCGCGCCGCCTCGAACGCAGCGCGGGTCTTGAAATCGAGCTTGACGATGCAATTTGAGGCCGACGCGCGGGCGAGGAACGTCTCGAGCGTCAAGTCGCTCGTGTTGGCCGGCGGATGGGCCATGATGAGCACGTTCTCGGGGCTGAGCTGCACGTCGGCCTCGAGAGCGAGCCCTTTCGCGAGCGCATCTGCGAGCTGCGCCTGCGAGTTGACGGCGTGGGCCCAGTGCACGCGCATGGGGTCGGCGCTGCTGGAAGACATTCTCGGCGAGACAAAGTAAGCGTCGGTGGTCACGTAAAGGAGCGCGAAGATCGAGGTGCTCAAGAGAACAGCCAGGCACCACGCGAGCGCTCGGCGCCGCATGCAGGACTCGCTTATCCGTAGCGCTTTTTTAGCCGGTTCAGAAAATAGATTTCGGGAAAAACATGGATCCTCTCTCGTACCACAGCGTGTACATAGTGAGCCCATCGACACTGCGTGACAGAGTAGACTAGTGTGCAGGATCGTACTTTTGTACAGCTCATCTGCGATTCCTGTGCGCCGTTTTCAATGCCTTCAATGGCACCCAGCGTCGGTAGTCCACCGGAATTTCGTCGTAAAAACGGTAAATCCACTTGGCACGCGTCAGCCATTTATCCGGATGACACGGCTGCTATGCTCACAATCCCAAACACGCGCCATGGACAACTGGGACGCTATCGAGGACCTTCACCCGACCATCTTCGCCTACGCTGGCGTGCTCACGCAGTGGCTCGACGGCACCTTGAAGCAGGATACCTCGGATAATCAAGTAGCCTCGGAGCTGTGGGTCGACGCCTTTCGCCTCGACTGGCCCGGCGACCTCGCGACCTTGCCGATAGCCTACCTCGGTGCGCAGCACTTCCGCTTGATCCGCTCCAAGGACATGTACAAGCGCGTGATGAAAGTCTTGTACAACGGCAAAGAGATCCAAGGAGGACTGGAAACACACGACGTCGACTTCTACCCGGATGCGTCCTACGTTCCATACCGGGACAACTCGGTCCTGGTCGCCCAGATCATGGCGGCGCCCATGGAAAACGTCTGGCTAGACGAGCTTGCGTCGCTGCTCAAGACGCCAAAGGCCCTCGCGACGGCGGCGGCGCTCGGCGGCCACGCGCGTCTTCTCGAGTACCTCGTGCGCGAGAAGAGCATCAACCTCGCCGAAATGGT